ACATAATCGATGATACAATTAAACATTAACAAAAGACTGCTCTCTCATTCGTGACATAATTTGACATGAAACCTGTTAATGTTCGACAGATGACAGCTACAGTAACCGGAAGTTCCCGTGTCAGAACTTCATTCTCACCGTTACTTCACTTCTAACACATACTGAGGGATATTAATTAAAAGTAATTAAATTAATTTTATTTCTCTGGTTGCATAACCGTTCACCTTATTCACTGGTAGTATTACTTTTCTAATATGGGTCTCTCCCATTTATATTTCACCTTAAAAATATTCTCCAGTATCCCTAAATGATACTTCATTTACCTTCTGGTAAATAGCGTCTTCATGAAAACTTGACCACATTTTTCGCACACAATTTGTTCTTCAATGTGATGCCTGACTGCAGTCTATCAGAATATGCTTCCCATCTTTTTGTCCCCACACACCGACATTGTACTTGTCGGATATTCTTCTCATTTTCATCACATGTTTCCCTTCCCTTCCCCTTCTTTCTTCCTTGCTACGTTTCCCCCATATTTCGTTTAATATCAGCATGTACAGCTAAGGAAGCCTTCTCTCAACCTTGTAGCTATATTCCTTCTTCCAGTATCATCTCTCCTTCCCCCTGATTCGTTTTTACATCCCACTCCCCAATTCTTATGCACCACCCTTTCATATTCCGGAAAATATCTGCCTCAATTAATTTCCACCATATTTATAAACCGATTTTTTTATTTATTAGTCTGAAAGTGTAAATATTGTCGCGTGATGCTTATGTAACGCGACAATAATTCAGCGGGTTTCGGATTTGGCTATGTTTATTGGACGCTCACTTTTACACTTACAGGTACAATCATAATTTCTGCCAAACTGAAGATTGATTACACTTTCAAGGTCAAATGAAAACTGAACTCGTCTCTTGTCGAAGCTGGACTTTCATAACTTCCATGTGGACTCGATAGGGAATCCCACCTCGAAGGGTTAATTCCGCTCGCCGCTATCGAAACGTTGCTTCAACAGTTCCTGTGTAACGGTGGAAACTCCACTGTTAGGAATTACTAGCGATTTGCTTCCTAGCCGCTGTCGTGGGAACGCTGCTCGTTGCCTAGGAAATCAACTCTGATCTCCTCAACAATTCCGGCTTTCTGGCGGCACGCCGCAATATTTATGAACCATATTTTCTTTATACAAATGTGCTGTCCTGTCCAAGTATTTCATTATCCCGTCACTACTGCTACTCCGTAGTTATCTATCTGTCTGTCTGTCCGGCCGTCCATCCATCCATCTTCCTGTTGCTCCCACATGGAGCATAGGACATTAGTGAAACGCTTCGTTCCACTCCAGTTTCTTAATTTAAGACTGTCGGTAGGACTCCTTGGACGGGGGATCAGCCCGACACAAGATCGCTACCTACACAGGAAAACAAAGGCACAGAACAAACACACACAGATATCCATGCCTTGAGTGGGATTCGAACCTACGATCCCAGTGTTGGAGCGAGTGAAGACGGTTCATGCCTTAGATAACGCGGCCACTGTGATCGGCTGGTTGAGTAGGCCGACTGCTGTACGTCCAGAGACCTCTAGTAACAACCTACAAACTGAAGTTTGAATTATTTGTTTCCTTCTATGCATCATATACCTCCCACACAGCATTCTATCCCCCCCCCCATTAATATCATCATATTTTTATAGCTTTCTTCCCTCTCAATAATGTGTCTGGCTAAGCAACTGTCAGATTCCCCATTCAAGGTGTCTTGTCTCTAGCCTCACAAAAAAAAGTGGGAAACTTCTCCAATGAAGAAGACGGAACAAATTCGACTCTGGCGCCAAGAATTTTATTATTCAGTGATTTTAAATCAGAGTACTTAGCTGTAAAATTTGTATAGCATTGGATGAACAGTGAATGATGAATTAGGAGGTATAGAAAAGGAACGTTACTGGACTACTTTACGTGATCTAGCTTGCTTCCTTGCAATTTGTGTACTGAAATAAAATAAATCCCCAAGAATATCTCAGGATAGTCGGGATTCAGACCAGATACTTATTGAATGCGAAAAAGAGGATATAGAAAGGAGTAAACACAACGCAGTCAGGTTGAGTTTGTTAAGTAATTAATTAACATTTTAATATAAGAGCTACAATTTTCAGTGCCGCTAATATAAAAGGCAACGTCGAACACGATTCTGAGCGAATCCTACCTCCGATCACCACAAACTTCCTCTTATCCGAACCGTTCCAGCTCAGTTGGGAAAGCGACG